TATATCATGTATCATACATAATATGTTTTATGTTATATGTGATATGTTGCATATTATATTATATAGTCCCTTTTAATAACATGGTTCTTATATACATATGGTTCATTTTAACCATGGATTGTATCATATAGTTCTTATATGCATGGGTGTATGTACATATATGTTTTATTTTATGTGTATATTATATATATATGTAATTGTATATGTATATACTGTAACACTGTATCTCCATATTAAATTCACAGCTTTCTTGGACATCTCCTCACTTTTGAACCGATTCCGTGGCGCCTGTTCCGTGAGCTGCTGCGTCACTTTGGACACAGCCTCCTCTCGCTGCACCTGAAGAATTAGCGAAGTTCCACACGTCGAACTTGGCTAAATTCACTCTACTGCAAGTTACAGTAATATATACATATATATATATTATGGGTAACTATTGGAATATTATGCATATTGATAATCATTAACTTGCTGATATTTATATATATATACATATATTGCTGATATATATATATATACGTGTATATATATAATTGGAATTATGGTTGAATATCTGGTTGATGGTTGAGGCTTCTAAAAAAATGTGCGTCAATAGGGATTATCTCAGAAAAACTCACCAGTCCCATCGAAAATGGTTCCACTCACGTAGAGAATCACTTTCTGCAGGATGAAGCCCTTTGAGTTGGTAAATGGCTAGTATGTGAGTCCCAATGTAGTTCATTTTAATAAAATGTTGTCCGCAACCTTAACATTCGCCCAGACTCATCATTGTGACATAACAGAGACAATTCTGTGTTGCTGGGAAGTTCCGAATCCAAGCAAGGCCAAAGGGGGAAATTTAGGCCACGGTGGCATGTGAAAGATACCTTGAATACAGTTATCTTCATGAGGAAACAATATCACCTGATCATCATGAGAGAACAAAATCCGCCACCCCCTATGACCAATATGCTGAACGGGCCAACAACATCAACTTTATCTTCATGAGGGATCAAAATTTGCCACCTCCTCAGAACAATATGTTGATTGGGGAAATAACATCAACTTTATCTTCATGAGGGATCAAAATTAGCCACCCCCTCTGAACAATACGTTGATTGCGGGACATCAACTCCGGGCAAACGTCCAGGTTGCAGCGAAAATGCCTAATCCCTGTGTTACTTATAGATATATGTAGGGGGTTATACCATGCTATCTCACCCATTTACAAACCATCAATCCTAGCATCTGGATCAACCAAGAAAAGGATCCATCAAACTATAAATCAAATCATGTAAGGGGCTATGAATAATTCTAGGCCCCAAAAACGGAGATTGCTTCTAATATCCCCAATTTTAGGGGCCTATGAACACCAACATTTGAATGCTTCCAAAACAAAAAGGCAAAATCCCAGATCGAATCCAACCCCCGATCCCAGCAATTCCCAGCACGTCCGCAACACCGCAAGGCACGATTTCCTCCTGCAGTTTGGCCACGGTCGTCATCACTTCCCTTGCCATCCGGTGGTGCTCTTCTTCTCGTGCAGCCACCTGTTGCAGGGATGACATCGGCAGCCGAAATTCATACGGTAGGGTGATAATATGATAGAATATATAATGGGTATCTAATGTGGATATGATGGGATAGATATGATGGGATATGGTGGAATATATGTATATGTAATAAACGGTAACAAATTAATAAACAACATCATGATACGGATGTGTCTGAAAATGGTGGATTTAGCCCCAAATTTGCCATTGGAACAGGAAAAAGGATGATAAAGAAGTAGAATTAGGGGTACACCATTTTCAGACAAACCCATCCACTTGTGGATCTCGAAAATTCTGTTTGTGTCCTCTAATCTGGCAATGGATTGTTTTCTGACAAACTCACAGTAACTTGCCTCCAACTGCGAATACCCCAAAATCCTTCAAAAATCCGTAGTTTATTCGCATTCTCCCATCAACAAGTGCCCCGAAATTGCTACTTCAATGGGAACGGATCTGCAAATCTTGTTGTCCATCAGAAAGGATTAAAGGGTTGATGCCAATTTTTGGGCACAACACTTCAATGCATTTTTTGTCGTCGTATGGATTTGAACTATTCCTCCATAATGTTGACAACATGCAAAAAAAGTCCTGCAGGACTGAACTTAGGTTAATTAAGTCAATTTTACTGAGATGTATACTGAGATGTTTCACTATTTTGGTCCTGCAAGAATGCCATTATCATCATTATATTACCCCACTAACATGGTTCCAATTTTTCAGCTGCCTGATCTCCCAGCGCAGCTTCGAGATGCGCCAGCCTCGCACAACGACAACGAGGCGTTTGGGGAGACGATGTCCCAGAGAAAATGGTGATTATATTGTGCATCTTCTATAAATATAATATGTATATACATATATATATAAATATAATGTGTATATATATATATATATATGTATATATATATGTATATATGTATATATATATATGTATATGTATATATATATATATATGTGTGTGTGTAATGTACCGATAAATATGTAATGTATCGGGGATATTCTGTTGTTGATGTGACTATTTGTGCATGTGTGTATATTGACTATGGTATGAGCTTGCAATCGGAGGATACAACTGGCAAAGACAAGAATATGTTGCGACATGTTTATGGCGTATTTGCCAGAAAAAGAGTGAAGAAACTGAACAACCAGCTGATTAAGGGCCATATGTGATTGAAGCAACGGAAACAGCTCAAAATAAGGTCTAAATTGGTTCAAACCAAGAGATGCTGCATAGTCTGTCCTGGTTTTTCCGCCCATCCTCAGGATATCACGACCAACCCACAGAAATCCAACTTTCGATCAACCTAGATTCTACGAACTTCCCCGAATTTAGCAAACTAGTCTTCTTTATAAGTCTACGCCACATTCCAATTTTATCTCTCGAAATCAACAGCCGGAAAACGTCGAAAAGCCATCTTTATCTATCATATCTTCATATGCTGATAGTAAAAAGACAAACAAAGACTATAAATCATGGTTCATCCCCAATGACTAATCATCAACAAACAGAAAAACTCATATTGTCGGTGATATATCCAATGGTCACCAGTACATGTATAGCTGTATACATATATAATCATATATATATAATTATATATGCAATTATATATAACTATATGTATATCGCTGTAAAATGGTGATAACTCACGAAATCATCAAACAGCTCAAAGAAACACAGGGTCTGGTTTTATAGCTCCCTAAAATTAATGGACAACCATCAACATCAACCATCAAGTTATCTCCCATGCCCCTTATGTAAAACCCCTCAGATCTACATGATGGTGAACTTTCCTCAAAATCAAAATGGTGCAATCTTCATCTCAATCATCAGGTCATAGATAGTTCTAAAATCTTGAAACATATGAAACATGTGAATTTCACACAGCCTGAGAATTCGGGGTGTCCAGCGAGCGAAAACCGCTCTTTAAGCCAGGCCTGGCCACCAGGCCTTCCTCCCCGTTGCGCCGCTCCAGGCTCGCGGCCAGCAGCGCGCGACGGAGCTCCTCGAACGCCTCAGCGTCGGTGGTCCATGAAAACCTGTCGCTGAAACTCCATGGATTACTGGTTGGTGGTTTTAATCATCTTAAAATCTTTGAAACCACCAAGCAGATTTATGTTCGACCTGTCACTTTCTGAAGCGAACTCGAAACATCGAAGCTCTGAAGCGTTTTTTTTTGGATGGGGAACCATGATGAACCATGGGTAGATGGATAGAACCATCCAATAGGCCGCCCCCAACTCCTTCCACCGTCCCCTCGTCACGTCCCGGCCTCTTGGAGTTGCAGATGTTTCGCCTTGGAGCCTTGCAGCTCTTGACGTTGCGCCTGGCGCAGGCCAATCGGTCATGGGGGGAGACTCCCCAAAAAATGTTGGGAGCTGTTCCAAATCCTTTCGTGAAAAGCTACCTTAATTTCCTTTGTCAACCTGGTTGTTGAATGTTGGTATGGTTGCTGTTCCAAAAATCTATTTCAATCTATTTCACTATTTCAAAAGTTGTAGGGGGTCCATTGCCACACGCATGATTCAAATCCTAGGGCCAAGTTTCCCTGCGCTGGTTGCTGTCAGATGAAGATTGGCTGTGCTAAAGCTAAAACGCGTCATAGTTATAGTTGGCATGCCTTGACAATATTTCCATACTTCTACCCCCAAACCACTTTAAAGCCTTCTACCATCTCATCGAATACAACGCCATCTACCCACCCCCCGAGGTATGTGTTTCAAATTCCAATAAAGGTTGAAAGAGGGCCTAGATAGACGCTTGGACCTATCTGTTGCCCCAGTTCCGTTGATGAAACCCAAAAAAACAAGTAAGAAGAAACGGAAAATCCAAAAGATACAAAAACAATCAAAAGCATGTATATATATAAGACTATATATTTATACTAACTAGATCTAACTAGTTGGGAACGGCGCTGAGAGGAGACTGGTGGTTTTAAGGGGGGTTGCGTGCACTTCCCAATGTATCTGCGCATGCAGCCTTGCACGACTGTTTTTTTCACTTCTCAAAAACTACTTCAACCATGGAAAAATTTCAACGTAACAGGAACATGGACGTTAACATCCCACCCCACCCCACCCCATCATCAAGGTAACATCATCAGTGTAACATTGAACATGAAAGTTAACATCCCACCCCGCCCCACCCCATCATCAACGTAACAACAGCAGCGTAACATGAACATGAACGTTAACAACCCCACCCCACCCCATCATCAACATAACATCATCAGTGTAACATGAACATGAACGTTAACATCCCACCCCATCCCTCCCCATCATCAACGTAACATCGACATCATCAGTGTAACATGAACATGAAGGTTACCCATCCCACCACACCAACCCCACCACTCATCATAACGTCAACAACCAGAAAGCGTAAACATGAAACATGGAACGTTAATCCCACCCAAACCACCCCCATCATCAAAGTAACCCCCACATCATCCTTGTGCTACATGAAACCAGAACGTTAACATCCCCACCCACCCGACCCCCATCATAAAGTAAATCATCAAGCGTAACGTGAACATCAACAGCTAAACATCCACCCCACCGCACCCCATCATCAAGGTGTTTAACATCCTCCAGTCCCTTAAATATACTTGAACATGAACGTAAACCCTCCACCCCCACCCCAGATCAACGGAATCAACATCAGCTTACACAATGAACCACCTTATCGCCCACTTTCCAGTCTAAATAGCACCACATACACCACTACACACCCCCCACCCCATGATCAACATAACATCATCAGTAAAAAAATGAACATGAACGCTAACACCCTACCCCAACCCCACCCCAACCAATCATCAAACAAAAAAAAAAGGAAAACATAACACCCAGGCGCCCTGCAGCGCCCATGGCAACTAGTTAGTATATTCTTCAAAATCTAATGCTAGATAGTGTTCTTAGTCGAAGCACTACCCAGTTCTCACCATCACAGACCTCCACAACCTGGTTCACTCGCTCCACCAGATCCGCCTGCCATGGCCATGGCTGCGAAGGCGAATTTGTCAAGATGATATCATATATAACTTTATACAACCATACTATGGATTGACTATTTATATTTATATATACATTCATGATGAATCGTTCGTAAATAAGTTCTTGACAGATTTTGTCCTCATGAAGCATCCAAGTCTGCGCAATGGTCACTGATTGTTTGCATTTGGAGAACATCCCTGTCATATGTGGGATGGTCTGAAGAATGGGAAAACCCCAAAAATCCCATGGTTTCTCGTCATGCTCCCTTTAGAAAATGACCATGTTGCGGGGTATCCCCCGTTTTGAGCACATACCCGCATTCTGCACAGCCTATTTCTTTGTCTTCCGAGTAGCGTCATTGCTCCCAAATACATTGCTTGAAAATCCCCCCCATCTAAGTCAATTTATAGATAAGTTGTCCCATTTCAAAAAAGCAACAGTAACTTTCGGCACAAATCCTCACAATCATAAGGCCTCCTGGAAATATTAATGGAAATATTTGGAATTTATATATTCATATATGTATATATACGGAAATACATGGAAACACCACGACTTTCCAAGTTACCGTCGTTAGTTCGACCATCTCCAGGAGACTCCGCTCGGACGACCTCGCGTCGCTCCGAGCAGCTTCGGAGCTCGTCCAAAGCCTGGACCCGGAAAATGTGTTCCTCATTCCGTGGAATAGGTCCTGTTTCTATCACCAAACATCTGAGAATCCCATTGTTGTTGGCATCATGAAGTCAACAACAAATCCTACCTGCATCCAATCCAAACATTGGCATATCACTTTAGCACCAAAATACCCCAAAAACCCACTGAGAAAAAACATCAAAGGTGAGGATGAAACATTGAACCCCAACATAAAACCATAACAGGTAACATACCAACATATATGCCCTGAAGCCCCCATTTGTCCATTTTTTCCCCCGATGTCACCATTTTTTGATGCTGCAGCCTCGCGCGTTTGCACAGCTTGCTGCTCCACACGACTCCTGGTGCTCCACGATGGGCTGACGGTTGAAATTTGAGGGTGTGCAAGAAATGAAGTAGGTAGTTTGATCAACACGAACTGGGGATGTCAAACGACATAAATGTGGTTTCTTGCTGCTGTTGGATTGTAGACTTCCTTAGAATCACCTCACTTCGTCACCTTTTGGGAATTGGGTCATAACCCTGCCATGTATAGATGAGATAATCCCAATCAGGCAACCGATTAAGCACGACTACCAATTAGGTACTAACCTTCATAATCCTCCAAGTAGAGGAGTTAATTGGGAATTTCTAGCAAAAAAACATCAAAACTGTGGATGCTCACCAATCTTGTCCAACAGAAAATGTATCAGCAGCCAAGATATGGCTTTGTTTGAAAATAGGATACCCCTAAATCCATTGGTTTATCATCATTTTCCCTATTAAAAGCGACCATTTTGTGGGTATCCCCTGTTTTCAGACCGAGATGTCGCCACCCAATTCGCGGCACCTTAACTCCTCGCGCTCAACCGATTCCTCCCGAAGGGCCGAACGCAAGTCCTGGCGGTGTTCTCTGCAACTCGGAAAGTGGGAAAGGACACAATAAATGAATATGTATATATATATATATATATAAGGACTCAAATCGGGCCGCTGCTTTTTGGCGTTGCAAGACCGAGGTTTTCAAATAAAGTTAAAAGTTACATTTAAAAAACTTGAAAAACTCCGCTTCAAATTGCGTACCAACTTTGAAATTTCAAACTAATTTCTCACAGTCAATTCTCACACCCCTGGGTACCACGGCCAAGCCCGTGAAATACCCAGCCAAAGTGGATTTAGGCCGTCCCTTGTCCGGCCAGGCCCAAGACGACAGGACCCAAACCTTAAAGCACTCGATGTGCTCCTTTTTTCGGTCCCCGATTCCGCTGTTTCTTCTTTGCTTTCCAGGGTGGGGGCGGAGGGCCCTTGAGGCCAAAACTGCAGTATAAAAAGTGACATGCCCTTTTTTCATCCTTAAGCACGGGGGCGTTAGCCCAAGGACTCAAATCGGGCCGCTACTTTTTGGCGTTGCAAGACCGAGGTTTTCAAATAAAGTTAAAAGTTACATTTAAAAAACTTGAAAAACTCCGCTTCAAATTGCGTACCAACTTTGAAATTTCAAACTAATTTCTCACAGTCAATTCTCACACCCCTGGGTACCACGGCCAAGCCCGTGAAATACCCAGCCAAAGTGGATTTAGGCCGTCCCTTGTCCGGCCAGGCCCAAGACGACAGGACCCAAACCTTAAAGCACTCGATGTGCTCCTTTTTTCGGTCCCCGATTCCGCTGTTTCTTCTTTGCTTTCCAAGTCCCCCTGCCCTGCACCCTCTTGGGTGTGGGCTCAAGTTTTGGTAAGGGGGAAGTGAGACTCCGAAGATACTGGTTACGCAAATTACGAGAAAATGGATTCCACACTAACGAGAGTTCAGCCAATACAGCTAGACCTTCATTCACATAGAGCCTAGCCGTCTTGGCGGCTTGCCATCGACCAACCACCGTTAGTCGGTCAAGTGACCCTTGTTGTCGAAAAAGATGGGTAGATCCACCTCTCCTTAAAGAGTAGGGTCGGAAGTCCAAGTGATGGAACTTCAAAGCAGTCAGAGTGTCAGAAAACTGCTTTCGCCATATGTGGGCTGCACCTGTCAACTTTGCGGTGCTTCGCACCTGTGCTTTCCATTGAAAAAGTCTACGACAGACATCCTCCACATAAATAGTGACGGACTCTGCCGCACCCTGACGTTTCCCAGACTTGGTCAGACCAAGCGAGATAACAGCCGGGCCTTTGTTTGAAACAACTGAGACATGAGATGCACAAATGGTGAGAATCTCTCCCGTTCGCAGGAGTCCAAAAAATCCCACCAACAGGGATAAGGCGAATAAATGCTGTTGTTTGAATAGGGAATATCCTACCATTGCTTCCAAAATTTCCAATGGCAAGGGCGGAGCCCTATTCGGAATTTCATTGATGACCCACGTCTTCATCAATCGCCAGCTCTGCGGCAGTTTGCCCTTTGAGTGTGGTTGAGCATCTTGTAATGCCGCCAATACGTTTGACCCAGTAGAACGCCCGGCTCCTGTTGCCCAAAGATGTTCAATGTAATCTGCCATGACCAGGTCTAGGTCATGTGCCGTAGTGGGTAGGATTTGCCCGATCTCTTTGAGATATCTGAAAAAGTCTTGCAAAGCTTGATCATATCGAATCCGTGTAACCGGTTGCACCGTAAGTTGTTTTAAGGTACCCAAACGCTGCCGTGCCTTTGCCCTAGCTTCTGGAGTGGCTCCTTCTAAGTGCCGCTTAGGCATGAGACCACTTTCTTTTTCTGGGATGCCGACTCGGGGCATCCGCAGGGTTTTCCTTGGTGTGGACGTAGGTCCACACTGCTTGAGATTTAGTCGCCAGAAGCAAAGCATTGACACGCAGGAGGGTCCTTCTTAATTTACGGCTGCTGGACCGGCCTCGACTGAGGGCGTGAAGACATACAAGGGAGTCTAATAAATGAACAAATTTTGTGTGGAGGCATTGACGCCTTTCTATGCGCCACTTCAGCGCTGTCAAGGCCGCCCTCATCTCTAACACATTGATATGCTCTGTCACTCCCTTCCAGCTCCACCCACATACTGTCTTCCACTTCCACAGCTTTGCCGGGATCGTGGCACGGATTCGATGATACTTTACATGGTCCTCTGAAGAGCTTTGCAACAAAACGTCATCACCTTTGATGCTGACCTGAGAGAGTAGTTTCTTCACCAATTGATCTGCCTGCCCTTTGACCCTCATACGAGTTTGACTCATGAGGGGTCTCTGCAAGAAACTTTGAAAATCTTTGACACTTCCTGGGGAAGTACGTTGGCTAATTTCCTGTACAGTCAATGAGGGATTTAATCCTAAGACAGCCCCCAACTGGGACAAAAGCCATGCTATTACTCCGACATTCCAGGAGTTGCCCACCAGACTTAATCTGGCGTCATAGTGTTCTTGGGTGCCTCGTTTGGCCTTGGCAAAACAATGCATGGTATATCCTCGTGGGAAACCCATGATCACTTCTCTTTCTTCAATTTGTGGAACTCGCCGATTACCTAGTCTATCCTGGACACAGAAAACATCGCGGTATTGGTAGGGCGGAAAGCGATGTTGATCTGCCCTCCACCTTCCCAGTTCTGTTGGTGTGCACTGTGCCAGCCCTGCGGGCTTGTACCCAGGCGAGGGTCTTGGACGGGACGTGGTGAAAGTAGGGAAGGGCTCGCCACTGACTTTTCTCCACCCTGGCAGGAGGAAAGCATTGGGTTGGACATCTGCCTCCAAAGATATGGTAGCCCTTCCGTTCTGAGTTTTCACCAGGCGGGCGCCATCTCCTTCTCTGAGTTCCCAATCTACCCAATAAAGGCGCGGACGCCGTGCCAGGGAAAGACCCACAGCATCAATACTCCAAGGGTCCTCCCCAAAATCAGCGGACATCACTGATTCATCCTCAGCGCTCATGGATGCTACTGACTCCATTAGGCTCCTAACCTGCGCACAAGGAAAGCAGCTTCTGACCAATTCTCGGATCCTTGACACGTGCACGAACAGCGAACTTCGCGCATCTTTCAGGGCTCCTTTCTTGCTGGCGTTCAAGCCACTCACGCCTTGGCATGGTGGCCCCGCACCGATCAAGACTAAGCCCACCTGAGAAAAACGTGAGGCCCATTCTAAGACCATGGCCCTATCGACCTCACTCACATCAGCAACCTTGATCGACTGCGGGTACTTGGACTCGACCACTCTTTGCGCAGCTTCTGACATTTCTACGCTCACGTGGCCCAAAACATGCCACCCAACAGCATCAGCAGCAACCCGCAAGGCGCCAATACCATCAAATAGCCCAATTGTCAAAACCCCCGTGACATCGGCTGGCTCGACAATGTCACCCCGAACTGCGCAGTTACTGGCCACGCAACCCGCATGAGTAAGCCCTGTACTTACCGTGACACCCCCTCCCGTTGACGACGCATCACTAGCCGTGACGCAGGAAGAGATGCCACACCTAAAGTCCATGACGACAAGGGGTGCTAGGCCAATGAAACGTGCCACCTCCTCTTTGACCTCGTAGGGGATGGGCAGCTTAATGCATGGAGGGTATCCTTCGAAGCTAGTGATAAACCGCCACACCGCGTTCAGGGCTCCTAACAAGGGCCGCCTGAACATAGTGAAATAGACAAAACCACCCCCCACGACCTGCACTTGCTTCTGCGTGCACACATTCTGCTGCAGCAACAATTTAGCAAGCGCCAGATATTTGACCACCTTCTCGGGCTTTGGGAAGGCAATACCACGGCTTCCATCCACAATGGCCCCTTGCACCTCGGCTTTCAGTTGTGATGCAACCCCTTTCTTTGGATGGCGTGGGATACCCCACTTGGCGTACTCTTCGCGCAACCCTTCAACCAACGGTGAAACCTGGCCTTGAATGGCCTGAGCAGTCTTCTTTGAAACTCGTTTGAGTTCGTCAAAATTGTCTAAATAAATTCTAAAAAACGGATTTGCAGTGGTGAAACCTTTATCCTTACGGAGCTCGGCCTCGCTTCCCTGAGGCACTCGCGGAAGGGTTTGTCGGATCACAAATCTATGGATGTGCTGTGCCAGGGCCACAGAATTTTTGAATCCCATGGGAAGGACGGCACTGCAGGGGTACCAGTTTCCCGGTCTGTCACCCCTCAAACTCTGTGGAAGGGGGCGATTAAATGCCATGAAACGCTGCCACTGTCGCGGTATTTTGAAGATGTAGAAAAAACATCTTACATCCTCGCTCGAGACAATGAGGTTTTCACTGGGCATTAAACAAAGAGGTGTCATGCCCGCCCAAGTGGGCAAAGTTGCTACATCACCCTCCAAGCTTCTACAGACCTGATTAATTGGCACTAAATTCATTATGATCCTCATGACTTCAAACTGGTTCTCGTATTCTCCTTTGGAGACTCCAAAAAGCCCATTTAGAATGGGTTTCCCGTGCACCTTATAGAGGTCATCTTCATGGACCTTGTCGAAAATTCCCAGCTCTAACAGACCCCTACAAAAGCGCTCCCACCCTTCGGGAGGAACCAACACTCGTGGTGGTTTGGTATACACTTGATCCTCCTCTGGCAGGAGGTAGGTCTCGAAATTCTTGACATAGTGAAGACAGCCATGCTCCACCACGTTTTCCAACTGAACCCCTCCCACTTCTTTCGGGAGTGCTGGTGCCACATTTTCCCACACCATGGACTGAGCTGTCATTATTTCTTCTCCCTTGTAGTCAATCCCTCTACATCTAAAGAAATCAGCCCAGGTTACTTCTGGGACCGTTTCCTCCCACTCAAAAACTCGCCGGGAGTCAGCTAATAGTTCCTCCAGGATTCTCTTTTGGAATTTGGTGGGAGACTCGTCATTCCAAACCGCCTCACCATTCAAAGAGTTGAGAGAGACTACCAAACACCGTAGGATAGACAGAGGACCAGGGGGGCACAGGGGGAAAACCTGGCTTAGGCAGTAAGAGGACGTGGGCAGAGGATAAACTCGGCCCGTGGGCTTGGTCTTGCAATGCCTATCTACGAAAAAGTCCAATCTACCCTCCAGCCAGGTATATATATCTCCCACATGTCCCACCGGTTCCCCCGTAACTCGCTGTTCTTTTTCCGCATCCACTCGGCCCAAGCCTAAGCGGTCCAAAGCTTCAGTCTCACCAGCGGCGCACTTGCTGGCAGCCAAGGTTGTAGTGAAACCAGGAGAGATGGCAGTCTCCCCCTCATGCATGCTACAGGCTTCTACCGGGAGCTCCCTTTTGTCTCCCCAGCTACGAATTTGGCCACCATCGAAGACTTTTTCTGTGCTGCTTGATTTCCTCTGCGCGCCCTGACTTGATTCCTCTTGCCACTCTTTTGCAACCTCCTCACGCCGGCTATCTTCTTCCATTCTTACCTCTGGCGTCTCGCCTGTCTCCCAAGGACTGCTTACTCCCACGGTCAGGAGCTCTTCTTCCCTTCCTCCTTGTTCTTTCCTCCTTTGCCTTTCTCTCGGCCCTTGTCTTTGTCCTTGGTCTTTGTCTTGCCCTTGCCTTTCTCCCAGCTCGCGGTCTGGCCTTTCGTCTGCCCGTCTAGCCGAGCTTCCTTTTGCGCCACCTGCAGCTCGGCCCTCGAGGCCATGCTGGCCTCCAGTTGTGGGACCACTTCGATTTTTTGGGAAGTGGCCCACGGCTGTCCTGCAATGGTCAGCTCCAGGCTCTTGAGGCGCTGATTCAGCGCATCGGCGCACTCGGCTGCGCGCCCCAACAGGAGCAAGTCGAGGCAGTGGGCCAGGCTTACTGCCTCTCTCAGGATGCCTCCTGAGGAGCGCGGGGCTATAAAACTCCTCACATATTGCGAGGCTATGGGAGGAAGTGCCTCGGTGTCCATCGCCCACGTTGAGCCGGAGGCCTGGAGTACATACCCCTTCATGTACTGTAGCGACTCCTCTGTCAGCACCCCGGGGGCCACCTCGGCCAAGCGCTGAACCTTGTTCCTGTCTTCCAGGAGCCCAAGACTCCCGTCCACGCTGCTTGACGAACTTGAGCTTTGACTTGAGGAGGAAGATGAGGTTTTTGATTTTTTGAGCTTTCTCTTTGCCTTCTTTTTTACTCTTCGCCTTATTTTGGCGTCTGGGTCGAGGCCGGTCCCGCCAAAGAGATCCTGCGGGTGTTTCTTTGCCACGGCCTTGCCCCCAATCTTCTTCAGCCTTTCTCTCCTTTCTTTCTTCTTGGCCTTTGTTTTCTCGATCTTTTTCTTCTTGTCCTCCCTCGCTCGGGAGACGGACCTTTCCTCGCCCTCCTGGCCAGGTCTCTCCTGGCGTCGCTCCCATTCTTCCTGCTTCCTCCTCAGCTCCCGATTCACGTCGTCTTCTTTTAGATTCTCTTCCCATGTCTTTGGCTGATCTCCCACCACTTGCTTGAAACGGGAGAGATGAACTAAATCCTGGTTGCTCCTTTTCTGGTCACACCCGGCTCCACACAAATGAGCCCTAATCACCGGAGGGTGAATGCCCGAGGCGTACTTCAGGAGCTCCTCAGTGCTCGTCCCTGTCAGCGTAAGAACGAGCTCAGCTCCGTTGTCCTCAAGCACCACCTTGTCTACCTTCCCAGCGAACTCACAGGGCGCCTCGAAGTATGTTGCCTGGGTGGACTTCAACCAGCTGCCGCTCCCAAACAAACCAGGAGCAAACTCTGTCGACAGGAGCTCCTCCCCTCTGCTCCACCTATCTGCTGCGCTCCCCCGAGCCTCTCTGACGGGAGCCTCGGCCGCTGGCCGCCTCAGGGCTGCCTTTGCTGCCGCTGGCCGCCTCACTCTCCTCATCCACGGGCCTCCCTGGCCAGTCGCGCTGCTTTCCTCTGGGGATCCGTACCGTGCAGGCGTATATCTTCACGCCTGTTCCTCCTCTTGGCACCCTTAGATCCTCCCCAATACCTCACCGGTGCTCCCCAAAAATAGGGGTGGAATTGGCCAGGAGGCGGCCCAACTGGGGGGCCTTGTCTAAAAGGTGGGGGCCCCACGGGTTCGGGAGGACGCTCGCTCCCACGCCTCCTAATGGGGCTGTCTGACCTCCCTACTCTATGCTCTCCCCTGCTTCTCCGGGAGGCCCTCACGGAACGTCTCTCCTCTCGCCGTCGGCTTCTCGATCTACGCCGTGACCTCTCCCTCTCTCGGGAGACACCCTTGTCCAACCTTCGTCCTCTGCTGTCTGACCTTCTAGATGGTCTCTCACGCCCAGAGGAGGCCGGTGTGGCCTTATCTGACCTCCGTCTCCCTCTCTCTCGGGAGCTTGCCTTTTCCTCTCCTCTGGAAGACCTTGCCGGGCTTTGCTTGGAAGGCTTCTTGCTCTTCTTGTCTTTCTTTGCCTTTTTGTCCTTCTTTGTTTTCTCTTTCTTCTCAATGTCAGGGGTTGCTTGTTCTCTGTTCGGGAGCTCTTTATCTCCCACCTCTGCTTTGGCCGGTTCTGTCTCAGCTAAGGGAGGGGGCAGAGTAGGTGCAGCTTTGGAAGTGGCGTGATTTGGTCCTGTAGCGTCCTCCCCTGTCTCTGTCTTGACTGGTGTAACGGGAGGCGCAGCCGCAGCGCCCTCCTCAACCCCCGGGGGGCGCGTACCCGGAGTTGACAGGGAAGGCCCTGGCTCGGCTGTCTCCCCACGGACGGGAGTTGCGTCTGCTGCCACAGGCGCCGCTCCCACTTGAAATCCCTCGGCCGCGTCCAGGAGCTCAGTGTACAGCTCCCGCAGCCTCCTCAACGCAAAACACTGAAAGGCCTCAGTGGTGAGAGGACGGCACAGGAGTATCCCGATCCGCCTCCACGTATGACACACGGGACAGGAGCACCCAACCGCAGGGTGCTCCACACTCATCCCTTGAGGCCAAAACTGCAGTATAAAAAGTGACATGCCCTTTTTTCATCCTTAAGCACGGGGGCGTTAGCCCATATATATTATACATATATCATATATATATATATTATATTAATCATATACAGTATATAATAGCTCCAACACTCAGGATCCCCAAAGTGTCCTACGATTACTTTGGGAAAATATTTAAAGAATCACAGGCCCAGAAGATCTGATCGCAGCGCAGCTTCAGAGCGCAGGCCTTCAGAAATGTCCGATGTCGGTGGCACTGGCAGGTGTCCTCCGCGAAAGTTTCCAGAGCTTCAAGTTTCAACAGAAGAAGTTGTAGATGCATCGGGAAGGTCAACCTTGGCTCAGACTGGAAGTTGGCTACAATGGTTGACCGTAGTTGTAACATGTTCACCGGAAGGAACGGCCCATGGATCACATATCCACAGAAAGGCCCATAGTCAGTTGGTCGGCCAACCGACCATCTTAGCAGCAAAACCCTTGGAGAATAAGGCCGAGAAATGTCCAAAGGGTCTCAAATCCAAATAGAAACAACTAAGGTTCCTCACGCAGTCTTCACAAACATCACTTATTGGGAGTCAACGACCATTTAACCACCAAAAAGTGTAACTAACTCCTCACACCAAAGATGTGCAAATGTGAAGATTTCCAAACAGTCCTGGACCAGGTAAAACAACAACAGGAGAAGAGTGACAGAGTCGTAAGGCACCCATCCCAAATAGCACTCAATCAATAATCATCATCCATCCCGCATGCCATTCGTGGGGATGAAAGATAAGAACATGTTTCAAACCCCCACCATTGACCTCATCTCTGGAAAAGATTGCTTACATTATTGCAAGTACCACGAAATGCTTCCAGCCACCACGTTGGGTTGCTCATACCCCCCCACGTGTCGTTGGTCAAAAAATCCCCGTGCCTCTGCTTGCTGTTGATTATACCCTCTGGTAAACCAACATAGCTACGGTAAATCACCATTTTTTTAATGTAAATCAAAGATCAATTGCCAGTTTCCATATGTTTCATTATATTTCCATAGCTGTGTCATTTGACAAATTACCAGAGGCTACCCCCCAAACTTCTCTGGTTGGTGGTTTCAACCCCTATAACAAATATTAGTCAGTTGGGATGATTATTTCCAATATATGGGAAAATAAAAAATGTTCCAAACCACCAATCAGTTCTGCTAAAAGGCTGATCTTGGTCTGACAACAGTTGGGCATCGCAAAAGAGCCGCTGGCAGAAGCGCGTACATTGCAGGCGACCCGCCAGATGTTGCTTCAGCGCCTCCCACGGAAACCAAGGCTCCAAGAAAATGAAAGATTCCAAGATCTTCAGTTTTTCAAGGGAGGCAAGTCATAGAGATGTCCAAAATATATTAAATATATGTTTGTGGCCAGCTTGTAACCAGCTTGAAAGCCTGATGTTTGATGGCATCAAAGCCCAACCACCATCCAAAACCTGCCCCGAATCCCAGCAACTGCCACCTTGACCGTGCTGCCGCGCGTCTCAGCCAGCAGCCCAAATTCTGCAGCGTCCAGTGTGGCAATCACTTCGCCCGAGGCCGCAGAGGAAATTTGAAGCATGGCACTGAGTTGCTGAAGCTGCTGAAGCTGCTGAGCTGAGCTCCCAGAAAGTTTCTATCACAACATGTTCGCAGATATTCATGGTGATTGTAATCGGGATATACCCCCAAATCCATCCAAATAATGCTGTGCTTGTTCCTTTCTTCAGTAACTTCACCCAAAAACAAGCAGAGACCCTAATGCAACCCTGGTGGAATCACTAACCGTGTGCGTGTCTTGTGGCGACCTAAAAATGAGACTCCAACGGTTCCACGGATGGCTGGTGATGGTTTTTGCTGGTAAATGATTTTGAGCCATAGCGGATCTTATCGGCAAAGATCAAGAAATACTCAAGAGCATCTCTGATTCTCTGATCATCTCTGGTCTAGTTGGTCAAAGTTGAAACAGAAGGCCGAACCAATCCATGTTGGTGATTCTTGCATCCAATTTTGAGGGTCTCTAAGTTTGAGTTGAGCCCCCAAATGAGACAAGCTTTCCTGGAGACGAAGAGGATCTCGGGGGATCATGGGAAGTGGCTCAAAACCTGTCCCCACAAAAAAGAATGTCCATCTCCCCTCTGGTAAACTAGCACAACTCAGGAAAATCACCATTCTAAATAGGTACATCATCTATAAATGGACCATTTTCCATAGCAAAAAGTTAGAAATGACGGGCCCGTCGGGTTGTCAAAAAGTCTGGGCGCTGCGAGGCTATCCCCCCGGTCCTCATTCTCAGGTGCATGGTCTTGCCTTAGCGACACTTGCGAGGCCGCCGCCAGGATTTACTTCTGGAGCAGCTCAGTCTGCAAAAACGTGATCAAAAATCAGCCGCAGCAAGTCAGGTGACAAACCACTGGCCCACTGGTCGTCCGAAGTCGTCCAATTTCCACAGATTACTCCTCCGTTGGAAAAATACCGGGATGGATGATTTGAGTTCCAGAAAAAAAACCTTACGGCCCTGGCTGGTTTGCAGGATGATGTAGGCCGCAAAGGGGTTGATGATGTTGCCATG